GGGCTGCCAGGTTTGGCACTGCCTGCTGAAACCTCTTGATGTGTCTGTCTGTCCCTGCCTTGCTTCTTCCCAGCCATTCCTTTTTCTGGGCAAGAAGAGGAAAAATGTTTGACTTTGCCATCCTACTGGATGTATTCTCCATCCCTGGAAGTGTCCAAGGCCAGGCTGGACAGGGCTTGGAGCAGCCTGGGATAGTGGGAGATGTCCCTGCCCATGGCAGGGAGTGGAATGAGCTGAGCTTTAATGTCCGTCCCATTCCAGAACATTCCAGGATTCTCTGATACAAGTTAATACTTCAAGATGTAGATATTTAGGATTATTATCAGTGTATTTAGCACACAACTGCAGAGAGCATCAGATATCTTCTGCATCTTCCACTTTTGCTCTGGATTGATTTAGGACTTGCTGTTCCTATTAATGTAATTGTCAGCTGTTGTCACCTGGGTTACTCAGGAGACACCGAGCCAAGGAACCCTAACCAGGGAGCTCCAGGAACTCATTACCTGTGGTGAATTGCACTACGAATTATGTTTAAGTCAAAATATGAATATTTGCTTTTGTTTATATTTAAAAAATATTTTTCAACTTCAGATGAAAATGTAGAATAAAGCATGAAATTTCCTGAAAAGGGCAAAAATTCGTACACATAAAATATTAACATTCCACATGGAAACCTATTCTACATCCAGACTGCACTAGAGAAAAGGGGAATGTGTCTGTGTGTGAGGGGTGTAAAAACCTTCCCTGGGTCAGGATTATTGTCCTGCAGCAGGGCTGGGCTGTGGCTCTCCCTGGGATTGGAGGCTCTGTCAGCAGAGCCACATCCAGCCTTGGATGACTTCCTGCCCAATTTATCCTGGCTGTGGTGAGGCAGCAGCCCTGGAGGACCAAGGGGTGGATGAGTGAAGCCCAGGTTTGGCTCCAGGCTGGAATGGTCACAGGCTGCCATCCCAGCTGGTACTGGCTGGACTTGGCTCCGGGGACACCTTTTGGCCACATATTTCAAGTCAGATGAGCTGAACCCACACTTTTCAAGCTCATAACAGCTGGTTTTGCATCTGACAAAATACAGGGAATAGCACTGGTGGAGAATGCTGTGCTGGTCCTTCAGTTTTTTTGACTACAGTATAAAGGTGAATAGAGAGACTAGGATTAAAGATGAACAACAAAAAAAATAAAATAAAAAAAATTGTCAAAGCTTTTATTTTACAAGCAAAGCAAGTGTTCATGCTGACAAGCTTGGTCCAGGACCCAACCTATTTTACCTCTCTTTTGGCAGCATATTTTGACCCCATTGGTGTGAGCCAGCCATGAAGCACTCTGCAGCCCCCCAGCAGTGCTCATGGGGCTGTGCCAGCCCGTGCCAGCCCTGTGCCAACCCTCACAGACACCCTGTCAGCAGCACAGCCAGCAGGGCAGGCATCAGCATTCTGCAGGCAGAAAATGGGAATCAGAAGATTTATTAGCTAGAGAATGAATCCAGTAGATGATAATGTGGGAGACTTGGCACCTCCGTTTTGCCTGCTTCATGAAAAAAATTCAGTTATTTGTGTGTTCAATGAAAAAAAGGAATCTCTTAATATTAAAAGGGTTAATTCTTAACTCACTTCTCTTTCACAGACAAGAAATATTTTCTGTAAGTCATAAATAACACATTTTAATAAACTGAGACTTTGATTACTTCATGCGGTCCGACTTGCATTGTAATTTTGCAGAGACTCTTTGACACCGTTCCAACATCCAGTTTCTGTTGTGCATATTAAAAGTTCTACATATTTCAGACGTGTACAGGTCTTCATGGTCTACTAGTGAACAGTGTTATTACTGAAAATAAGTTTGACCTTCTAGAGAAATAATTGACTTTTAACGGAAAGCGATTTTATTTTTAAAAAAACTTCATTGTTTTCATGATTTACCTTTAATTTATGTTCCCATACTATACAGTCATTTTTCTCAAACTGCACTAATTTTGTAGTTCAAACAAGGCTTCCATTTCACCCTTGAGCCAGGATCCCTGATTTTTCTTTCAACTGGAAGTGCACAAGCTAAATTTTTGGAATCAGTTCAAGGTCAAATTCAGTTCCTTGGAGTTTTGTCTTGAATGTGAACTTCAACAAGAAATGAGAACCTGTAACTTTTTCTCGGTGACAAATACTAGCTTCTACATTGGTGGTGGCATTAAAGGAGCAAGAGAGCTCATGCTGGCATGTGCTTCAGTGCTGGAAGGAGCTTTAACTGGTTGGAAAGATTGGAAATTAATTCAAATGGCATCTGGTTTGCCCTCTCTAATTTATTTTCATTGATTATAGACCTACAATGAGAATTTGGTAGAGGAACATTTTCAATGTGGTTCCCTCCCTGACTCCCTAAAAAAGGAATAAGGAATGAATGTACTTACTTATACTTACTTGTGGGTTCAGCAGGTGCATGTTGAATTGCTTGAAATTTTGAGTTTACTTCCATTCTGGGGAAAAATGTTTTCCCTCACATTAGGGAAGTGTTTCAGCTTTTAACTAGCTGAAAATGTGCAAAAAAATAGACAACTATTCACTAAACCTCAATTTCTACAGAAAATTGAGCAGCCCTGAGCAAAAGATGAGACCTTGGCCCATGTTTCAGCTGGGTGAGCTCCTTCCAGAAAGCCTGAGTTATTTTCTCTGTTTACAACCACATATTAGGAACTGTTCCCTGTAACTCCAGTGTTTCACCATCTTTGTAATTAAGTAGATGTCACCAAGAATCTTTGCATTTTTGTCATTGCAGTTTCTTGTGGCCTGGAACAGCTTGCACAGAGGCGAGCTGCTCTCCTCCATTGCTCTAAAAGCAACCCATTGCTGCTCAGACTGCAGCCATGCTCTGCTGTCCCTGGAATTCCTTTGTTCAGAGCTGACTGTTCATCTTTAACCCTGGTTATTTATGGTTTACCTGATTTTGGCTTAGCTGAGTTCAGGGCTGAGTAATTTCCCAGTGACTTTGTACACGATGAACACTTCACTAAACTTGCTACCAATGCCTTTGATCAATGTTCTCTTATAAAACTAATTGTTCAAAGCAAAACAGGCTGCTGATGGAGTTCTTAGCTCGCTTTTGAACTGCCAGGCTGGTGGTGGATAGTGTTTATATTGTAATTTTAAATTATAATGGTATTTGTTGCTCCTTCCAGTTGCTTTTACTGAGAGGTCTGCTGTAACTTGGGGCTCTCTATTAACTTACCCAGGCATTCACTTTACCCAGAGGTACTTCTCACTTTTCCAGTGTCAATTGAATTGCTCCTGCTCAGCAGCATAAAGGGATATAGAGGCTGCTGAAAGTTTCCTGTAAAAAAATTAAATCACTCTTACAAGCACACAGGAAAGAAAAAGGTTGAGAATCTGAAATTACAGTAAAGGATTCTTAGAGAAAGGTGATGGAAGGATTTAAATGAAAATAAGGACTCATCTGAGGCTTCAAGACTGGGGAAGCTGTCTCTAGGATCAGGAGTAGGACAGAAGAAGTGAAGACAAGAACAGGAGTCTCCAAAGGGAAAGTTACAGAGCTATCAGTGGTAGCAATAAGCCTTGAGAAACAAAGGTTAGGACAGTAACCATGTACCTTATTTATTCTTTCTCAGCTGGTTTTGCATTAAACTTTGTGTTTTTCTGAAGAGGTCAGTTACTTGTGGTCGCAGTTCCATCCCAAGTTTGTTGTCACGGCACAGCACCAGAGCAGGAGGTGTAAGGTGCCTCAGAAGGGAGCCAGCAGCAGCAGGAACACAGGGAGGGGGGTTCCAGGAGTGAGGGTCTGTGTGTGCCCCCCAGGCTGTGTGCCCCCTCTGCAGAGGGACAGGGCTGATGATGCTCTGGGAGTCTCCCTGGGCATTTAACACCCACTCCTACCTGCTTTTGGTTGGGTTTTTCTCTGTTCTTCCTAGGAATACGTAAAAGTGATTACAAAACATTACCGGGCTTCTTCCCTCCTGCTATTGCAAAATGTTCATACAAAAGAGCAACGCTCTCCGTTGTACTCTATCCAAAGGCAACCACCTTGTGCCTGTGCAGATCTATGTTTTCACTGTCTTCCCTGTGTGTGCAAGGAGTTCTTCTGGTCTATCATCAAATATTTCCAGGAGATCCTTGAGCTTGGGGTTCAGCTGCCTGGCTCCCATATGAGGTTTGCAGTCTCTGCCCTCTCTAAGGGCCTCTCCATGGAGGGCAGCCCAGGAATTTCTTTTAACCTGGGTGGGCTCTGGGTCTGACACCCTCTGGGAAGGCAGCAAAGCCTTGGGTGCACTCTGTTTCTCTCATTCTCATATTCCTCACACTGGAAAAAAATTTTCTCCTGGCTTCAATGGAATCACTTCTTATTAACTCCAGTACAAATAAGAGCAGGAGCTGGTCTGCAAATGTTGAATTATTCATTGTATCTTCAGCAGGGCTTTCTGAGATACCCAGTATCTTTGATCTATGACATCACTGGTTGTGAAAGCCAAGAGGAGACATTCTACAACTGAAATGTAAATTCCCAGATATGACTTGAAACGTAAATTCCAGTAATATTCCTCCTCCAGGTGATCTCTTATTTCATATAAACCCAGCTTAACAAATATTCACCACCCCCACTGCAGCCAGCTTTGTGCAATTTAAAAGCAATGATGCACAACTAATTGCTGGTGCATTGTGCTCAGTTATAGCAGCAGTGAATGATTTCCAAAAGTTGATTATTCTTGGATGAATGATTTTCTTACCTCTGGTCCATGCAGGATTTACATTTGCTGCTGTGATAGACAGCTAACCACATGTTCTGCCCCAGTGGAACATCAGTGTGTGGTGGTGAAATCCATTTCATGCCTTGCAGTGGGTGTGTTCTCTCATGGCTTTTGACACCGATGTTTTACGGTGTACACAATCAGCAGGCCACACTTGGAAGAGAGAGGGCTAAAATGGAATTTAATACCTCTAAATTCGATCCAAAACCTTCAAAGTTTCCAAAAAAATAATTATGCACACTGGCAGGAGACAGTGTTTGCAGATGTAATACTTTTATTCTTTTCAGTTGTAGAACGTGCAGAAAATAGACACCACCACATGCATTCTTCATGGCAGGCAGGTAACTTCAGTGGGCTCCTCAGAAGGCTGAAATGAGCCCTGAGTGTCCAAAGCAATGTGACTATCAACCATCTTCCTGTAGGCTGCCCAGCAGGGTTATCTACAAGGTGTTCAGAAAATATCAGTTCATACTCAAACTATCTCTTTCAGTTTTGGCAAATTAACTGAATCTTTATATCTTATATATTAATTTATATTAACTGATCTTCATGTCACTGATATGAAGGCCAGCTCTCAATGTCCATCCCTCAGTGCTGAAGGAAGGAGGAGGGAAATTATTTAAGAAGTTTAAATGAGTAGAAGCTCAAACTGGTATTTCTGAAATAATTTAACAGTTTGCCCAGAGAATCTGTAGCTGCCCCATCCCTGGAAGTGTCCAAGGCCAGGCTGTACTTTGTGCAGACACCCAGGTATCTAAATAGTGTCATAAAATCGCACCAAGTTTCATTCTTGGTGGAAGTCCATGGGATTTTGCTCCTCCAGACTCGATGTTTGTAAAGCAAATGAACAAACTGTGGAGAAGTTAGTCCAGGGTGTATTGTTATCCATTAGGGTTGAACCTGCCAAGAGCAGATCCTGATGTGATTACTGAGACAAAAGTATCATTGAAGTTCTGGAGTTTTGCCCAAATTAGGACTTCAGTGCTCAGTCCTTGGTCTTTTATGTCATCAGCAATCATAATGAGGTTATTTGTTAGTGTTCTCAGCTAAATAGTATCTAACAAGAAATCATCACATTTGTTTGACAGAACAAAATATGTTTTCATGTGAAATCTGTTCTTCAAAATTCCAACCCCTGTTTACACCCAGGAAATTGCTTCATTTGTAGCAATTTCCTTTTCTTTAATTCCATTTCCAATTCCCATTATGAAACTCCCAGGCATGTAGTATGGCCCAATAAATAGGTGGAGTAGGACCAGAAAGGAGGAAATACCTGCCCTTTTGTACATTTTACTCCCATTTAGAGAAGGAAAATGAGAGAGACATATACAGAAATTCCAAATGTAAGCAGTTGCAATAATTAGCAGCAAGATTAGCACTTGATTAACACTTTTAAAATTTTTTCCATATCCCCCTTTGCAGCCAGACACAAGTGGAATATTGTGGCTGACGTAGTAACAGCCCTTTTGTGAAAATTCCAGTGCAGATTATCAAGCTACGCCCCAAGCCCTGCTCCCAGCGGAGGTGGATGTCACCATACCCAGCTCACAGGCTGCAAAATATCCCTCAAAGCCATGTTCAGGATCAGCCACAGAGCCATGGTGAGTGTGAGGCAGCTGGATGCACCCCGTGCTGTTCTCCTCCACTTCCCAACAGAAACACCCAGAGCTGAGCTGGGGGAGGCAGTTTTGGGTGCTGAGCTGGGGTTCTCCAGCCCCTGCTCTGGTGGGACCCTGATGATGTTGGCATCACTGCCCCTTCCCTGTGCTCCATCCACAGCCAGGGAGCTCCCCCTGCACTGACAGTGTGCTCCTGCAATCCACAGCTTCCCAGGGTGGAATCCCTGTGTGTGAGAAGCAGGCAGGGGTGTCTGAGCGCTGCCCTGGCTCTGCCTGGCCTCTGGTGACATTTGTGTCAAGGTGGCAGCAAACAGCATTGCTGGGCAGGGAGGAGCAGATGTTTGACAGGGGACAGGCACTGGCATGGAAGTGTAAGAGCCAGAACAAACAAAAGAAAAAAGAGGTTGGTATATATTTTTCTTCCTTGATAACAGAACTGGCTTAGCAGAGAGAGGAATCAGAATGGCAGGAATCACCTCCCTGAACCCAGCAGTGAAATGCAGTGGCATCATAGCTCACCTCTCCCATGCTTTAGTGCTCTTTCCCATCTCCAGCCACTCCTGAGCTGCACTCCAGCTCCCCTTGTCCTTAGGAAAGCTCCTGCTGCTGTTGACAAGTGCCATCAGCTGCAATGTCACTGGGAGTTCCACGGTCACGTTTGTAACAGGGTGTGTAGCTCTTTAGCTTCCTACCTAAAAGGGAGATATGATTGCAAATCCGACTGTGCTGAGGGAAGGGAGCCTCTTTCTCACAGCCCTATCTTCCTCCACGTGTTTCCTTCCCAGCCTTCTCCATCTGCCCAGCAGCTCCCCCACAGCCCCCACTGCAATCAGAAGGGTGTTTTCTCTCCAAGATCTCCTAGCAACTGCTGTTAGGTGAGGTCTGAGGTGGATCTTGCTCCCAAGCACTGATGCAAACAGCTCAGTTCTGCTCAGCTGACACAGTGCTCGCAGTGGAATTGGGAACAGAAATGTAAAGCCAGTTACTCTGCATGAGAGCCTTACAGGGGGGCAGTCAGCTAAGAAATTACTCTTGAACTCACTGTGTTTTCCATGAAGTCTATTTCCTAAATAGACTAAATCCAGCTCCTACATATAGAAAATGCAAGTGTTCTTCCATGCTTCTGGAAATTCACACAACCAGTGTCAAACCCTGGAGAGCTGGGACTTCAGTCACTGGTTTCTGTGGCTGATTTGCATGCAAGGATTGTGCACCAGATTGTGATGACATTCCAGCTTCCCCAGCTGTGCTCCAAGCCCTGCTTCTTTATGTGAGAAATTTAGTCAAACCATGTATTTTACATTGCTTTATGTTCTTGTTTTCATTCATGAGGCAAAAGGTAAAAAAAGAAAAAGAGAAAAAAAAAAAAAAGAAAAAAGAAAAAAAGAAAAAGAAAAAGAAAAAGAAAAAGAAAAAGAAAAAGAAAAAGAAAAAGAAAAAGAAAAAGAAAAAGAAAAAGGGCAAAACCCCCCCAACATTCCAAAACCTGAACTATTTTTACTTTGAAAGTACCAAAGAATTCTGATCAGGGTACAAAATACAGTAGAATTTGAGCATTGTTAAGGCTGCAGCCTTCTCTCCTGTGCTGTGCAGAAACCAGTCCCAGCTTTCCCCCTGCTGCAGTTCTGCTCCAGCCAGAAAAGTTGTTCTGCCTGGTTAAATCAGTGCTGTGTGTTTCATGAGCAATGTAAAAGATCCTTATTGCTGTTCTAAAAATACAATGTACTCAAGAATCCTAATCCAACAGTGCAAGACAACACAGGTTTCTTTCATTAGTGGATTGTGGTAGGTATTGCTGAATCTAGTTCAAACAATTACCATTCAATTTTATATCTGCAGGCAGTGTAATAAACTGGAATATAGTTTTCACTCTGATCAGTCATATGAGAGGTATCTCCTTACTGCTGCATCCCCTTAAGCATCCTTACTCACCCATATGTTCATTCTGGCAAGCGCTGCATCCTCTCCACCATTATTTTATGTACAAACCTGAGCCAGGGCTCATTATTTTGGGAGTTAGGCAGCCCCTCCTCAAAGTGCCACTGAGGATGCACCCAAAGCCAGACACTGAGCCCAAATTCTGAGGCTGATGAACTGGATCAGAGCATTCAGCCAGGAGTGTGGTGATGGGAGCAGCCTTGTCGGTTCCTAGTTTTCAATTTGAATTTGGGGGTTTGTTGTTGTTTTGGTTTGGTGTTTTTAAGAATAGTACCATGAGAACTAGAAGGAGGTGGTGAAAGGAAAGATTTACTAAACTCTTCACAAAATAGGCTTGTATTCTTGGTTTGAATTAATGTTCTGACATGGTTTTTTTCTTCTAAATCTTTTGTCTTACTTGTGCAGAAAATGCAGCATGAGCTTGTCAGAGATGAAGACTTGGGCCTTTTTTGAAGCCACAACACTGCTGTACTTGACCACAGTTTATTTTAAAAAGAGCAGTTGGACAAAGTGAGGTCAAGGAAGTTGTGTTACTGTGAGTCAAAAAATGAGAGGGAAGAAGTCTGCTAAATTAAGAATTTCAAGGTTTGCATACTTCCCAGAAAACTAACTCCTTGATGAAGTTTCCTTGCATTCCTAGATGAGCTCTGCTAGATTTCATCCTGTAGGGATCAATCCAGAGCAAACCATGGCATGGGATTGCAGGGGAATGTGAGAGGTGATGGGCAGGCTGAGAGAGCAAGGGAAGCTCAGATCCTGCCTGTGGATGAAAATGTGTCACTCCACACAAAGGAGGCATGGACTGCTGTGGGGCAGCCCTGACTTCTGCCTGGACAAAAGGAGGCTGCAGCTCACAGGGGTGGGAAGGATCTGTTTGTCTCAGGGAGTAGAGGATTATCCTCATTAGATTATCCTCATTAATTCTGTGTGTGAACATAAAATTAAATAAGGCTAATGAATCATGTAAAAGAAACTATTTTAAAAGCTCAGACAACTAAGACTGGTTCAATTTCCATTGAACGTTGCATCAAGTGATGTAGTGTCACTCAGGAAAGTGTGTGCACGTACCAGGTTATCACGTGTGCTCAAATGAGCTCCCTTCCTAGAGCTAATGCTGCTCCAGGGGGTGGGAAATAAACAAAGAGTGCAGGTAGGCTCCAGAATAGATGTTCCTAATTAGCTTTTTTCCTTTTTTTTATGTCTGAGCTGTGAAAATTGGCTACAGCACTCCCTGTGATTATACCTTTGCCTATTACAAATTTTGCTGATGTTTGGTTGAGGGAGAAATAGCAATTACGCAACCCGCAGGTGTCGTGGTAGCACTCCAAGGTGTGTTGATGAAGTAAACAGCCCTGCAGGATCAGTTTCCCCGTGTTTCAAAGCAGAGCATGTCTTCTGTAAATCTGCTGATGCTGAAAGATGTGGCCCTTCACATGTCCAAATCTCAGAGCAAAACAGCCAGAGAATTCCAGTAAAGGAATGATCTCTTTATAAGTCTTGAAGGTTGGGCTCTAATGTGTCATGCAAAAGTAAACAAACATCATGTCCTGATATAAAAAGGGCTCAGTGTTCCTCAACAGTGCAAGAGTTCAGGCTGTTGATAAGGGGAACAAGAAAGATTCTCATTAATTCTTTATCAAAAGAGAATGCAGCAATGATGTTCTCTCTGCTGCTTCTGCTTTGCCTTCTGAAAATTTAGAAGTGTATTTTTAGTCTTACTCCATGTACTCATGTGAAATACTTGCATAGTGAAAAATCCCCTCCCACAGAAATTCATCTCTGCTTTATTAAAAGTGACCCAAATTGACCACAAGGCTGCTTTCTCATAGGATCCCAGAATGGTTTGGGTGGGAAGGGACCTAAAGATCCCCTAATTCCAACCCCCTGCTGGGCAGGGACACTTTCCACTTCTCTTGTTCTTCCTGTGTCCCCTCAATAACTCCTGATTTCCTTTCTAGTGCAGGCTCTGCTGGTTTATCTCTCCCATCTCAGACACGTTGCTGTCGCACACCTCTCTAGATCTTGGGGAATCTCCTGCACTCTGTGCCTGTAAGAATTTCCACTTCTTGACCATACTATTTTGTATCTTCTCTCTGGTGTCTAAACTGCTTCAGTCTTCTGTGCAATGTTACTTAATGAATTTAAACTGAATTTAAAATAGCTGAATGTAGTTTCAAGACAAGTAGATATATTTTGTAGGGGGAAAACTAATTGGAGAGAGAATGAAAAAATCCCTTTTTTTCAATTTTCACTGAACATTGAAGGGTAATTCTGTAACTTGGTTGTAACGCAGCCTTGGTTTTGTCTCTGTTAAATTTAGGTCTCTAAAAAGCCTCCAGCATATATTTGCTCCCAAAATTTCACTGGTAGTTGCAGGACAGTTGTACCACATCTATAAACTTCATAATGGCAGATTTTCTGGGGCTGGGGATGATGCAGAGACAAATCTGCAGCTGGAGGGATGGGACACAAACAGAAACCCTAAACATACACACACCTAGAGACCCACCCCAAAAAAACCCAAGCAAACTCTCCTCTTCAGATGGAGAGGGAGCTCTTCAGGAAGCTTTTTGTAGCAAACAGAGTAAAAAGCATTGTGCAAGCCCGGGGCCTGGCACACAGCTGGCTTTTACCTAAATTGAATTGGAGAGCTGGGGAAGGTGGGGCAAGGCAAGCCTGGGGCAGCAGGTGTGACAAGGATCCTTCCTACAAAGGGAGTGGAGGGCTTTCCACTGGAACGGCTTTGAGAGGATAATGTGGGTGCATTTGGAAAGAAATGGTGACTGTATTTACTCACTATCCCAAGCTGGCACTTGTTTTAGGGGAGGGTGGAAGGTATTCCCCTTTCTGCTGGCATTGTTAACGTGAAAAAAACTGAGCTTGTGGGTGAGCTCGACTTGGGGGTGTGAAGGATATAAACTGGGAAAAAATAGTGAGTTAGTCCTTGGTTAACTGTGGAAACTAAGGAACTAAGGAAAATGAGTGGCTGTTTGTTTACCAGGCTTCCCCTTGAGGAGTGGGGAATGTCTCTGGAGGGGAACTGCCATGGGCAGCACAGTCTGACAGCTGCTTTTGAGTGAGGATTCCTTTTATTTGCAGTTCTGGGTGCAGCACACCTTTATGAAAGTCCCACTCGAGTGAATCTTTGCAAACAGGGCTTTGTGGAAAAGAAAGGCTCTGGTTAGGAAAATGCAGCACAGCTATCATGAGATACTTCTGGTTAATGTGGATTTGCCATCTCTGCCCCACCATCTGCTACCCAAGAATAGAAAATTTGGAGCGTCGCTGCTGCTGCCTCTGGGCTTCCAGTTAGGATTCAGGCTTTAATGGAACAAGTACATCAAAAACCAGTGAGATCTTGTTCTCAAGCCATTAATGATCATTCCAAAGACAAAATTTGTCATTTGCTGGTTTCCCTTTCCCTCTTTTGTGCCCTTGCCTCATAGGAGGGTGTCAGCCAAGCTGCGCTGCAGTGGCTGTGCTGGGCAGGCCATGGCTGGTTTGTGGCCAGCTCCAGGCAGGGCAGGGTGGGAGCTTTGTGCTTCTGCCTGTTGGAATAACTTGTCTGAAAATGGGCTCTGCAACAAAAAATCCCAGGTTTGAAACGCAGCTCTCCTATGGCTGCTGGGGGGTGTGAGGGGAGAATGGGTTCTGGAGTCATCATGGCTCAAGAGAACCATGATGAGATGATGGTGATGAGGATGAGGATGATGGTGATGATGTCACCTGTAGTGCAAATCTGGTGCCAAAAATTGTTTG